GGGAAAGAGGGAGCGGAAGAAGATCTCGAGGCCATGGAAGTCGAAGCCTGTGCCGATACAGAAAATGGGAAACCAAGACTGAGCCAAGGGTTTGACAAATGGGGTGATACTGGGGCTGGAAACGATGAAGCAGTGAGATCTGTTTCTAGGGATGACCACGGCTCAAATGCTGAATTACACGGTGCTATGAATTCAAGGCATCCTTCAGGTGAATGTCCTGTTTCGTGGAGCTCAAGGGCGAAGCACCAATTTTCCTATCCAAATGAGGCATCTGATTTTGATGTTTCTGTGGACTCTCCAGTGGGTAGTCCTGCATTCTGGAATTTTCCGTCTCTTAACCATGCGGAGGACGATGCAACTCAAATGAGAAAGAAATGGGGAGCAGCTCAGAAACGTGTTAATGCTGGCAATCCATCCCAAAACCAATCCCGCAAGGACATGACAAAAGGGCTGAAAAGGCTACTAAACTTTGGTAGAAAAAACCGAGGAACAGAGAGTTTGGTTGACTGGATATCAGCTACAACTTCTGAAGGAGATGATGATACAGAAGATGGAAGAGATCCTGCATATCGGTCTTCAGAAGACTTGAGAAAATCGAGAATGGGATTCTTGCAGAGTCATCCCTCCGTTGAGAGCTTCAACGAGAGCGAGCTATTTAGCGAACAAGGTAAATTTGATCTTTATCAATGCACTTATTGCATTCTCATTCCATATTAGACATTACATTACAACCAAACTTACACATGATCAAGTGATTGTGGGTTCAAGAAATGAACCTTCCAAACAAGCTTGCGATGTTCTTGTGTTAGCTTTTATCGCTCTGCTTGTCTGGTAAGACTTCATGTATTTCCATGCATGTTTGTGTGCATGTCCATCTGGGTCTGAAGGATGTGATGTCAGATACATAGTTTTGATGTACAGAAATATAGTCGTTGCATGTGGAAGGTTGTTGCAGAGAACTCTATACAAGTGTTTGTACAGAAGCTAATGAACACAGCCAGAAAGTTTCCCACTCTGTTTTTTTCCGGGCTCATTTTCTTGGCTATCAAAGAAGTTTGGTCGAGATCTGATAGGACGATCTAATTGTCTATTGTTTCAGCTAGAACAACAGGCAATTCCATGACAGCTCCTGCGATGAACTTCAAGCTGAAGGAGGATCAGATGTCGGGAAATTCTGTCAAAGGTGAGATCAGTCGCTTGTTCTATGCCTGAAACTCCGAATGGTCTTCACACTTCTCTGTCATCATGATGAGACTCTGTATATATTTTATCGGAAAGCCGAGATCTTATCACCTAATACAAATGCTTTTGCTCATTCAAATTCTTTGCACTATGCAGCACCTCGGTCATTCTTTTCGCTCTCCAATTTTCGTAGCAAGGGAAGTGATTCAAGGCCGAGATGATGAGCTCAATACTCAGATTCTTGCAGCAAAAATAGTTTGGGAAGATGATGTAAAGGAAGCGTGTATAGAAAGGTAAAGATCCTCTCATGTAAGGCCATGGCAAGAGGATGTGTATGTGAAAAGGCTCATCTTCCTCCTCCTGTTTCTCTCTGTTTATTTACCGATGGTTGTACTTTGTAAATTGTATCCAACATTATCACCTCTCTCTTGCACCCTTTTTACTTCTTCAATAATCTCAAACTCTATTAACACTTTTTCCATAGCCAGAATCAAACACAAAAGTTTTTACATTTCTTATATATATATATATATATATATATATATATGTATATTCCCTTGCTATAAATTTGTTTGAATGTCGATATATACATCAATGAATGGCCCATACTGGGCCAACGAGTTGTATGGGCCATATTGGGTCAACGAGTTGTATGGGCCCACTCTAATTCCTGGGCCCGAAGCATACCGGTTTTTTCGTAATTAGCGTGTGGAATACATATTCATACGCGCATGCCTCGCGAGTTAACAACACGAGCTAAAAATCCCTGGCCTTTTGATCCAAATCTAAGTTTTGGAATATTTGAGCGCGTGAGACATCTCAGACCCCTTCCCGCTGTTTCTTTCTTAATTTTTGCTGGATAATATTGAGTGCATTAATTATTTTTGGTAATTTGAAAGCTAACAATTTTTATTAATTGATACAAATAGGCATATTGTCCAATTCTAAAAATTGTTTGGAAATTAATATAAAAAAAATTATAATTCTCCAAAACTCGCATTTTTTATTATAAAAAGAAATATTTTATTATGGAAAATAAATTTAAATAGAATTAAATATAAAATGAAATTGATGAAGTCATTTTTTTTTTAAAAAAATCCAACAATAACCAAAAGAAATATCACTAAACTCCGGATAAGAGCAGCTCATTTTGAAACTAAAATGTCTCGAGTGGATATTCTGGCGATCGGTCCAATAATATCCCAGCATTCTTAACCTTTGTTATTAAAAGGTAAAATCTTCATGGACTAAATTAGGCCCACGTTAGCCCAAATACATGCATGTAATAATCTTTCAATAGAATGTGGGCTTAGAGAGGCCATTGTGGGCCCATTAGAACCCGTTGGAGGTCTGATTAAATCTCACTCGAAATTGATTACCGAGCGCGTGACATACACGTCTTTATGGTAAATCACACGCGCACATATAGCGCGTGGATGCCACGCACACCAAATCGCTGGACTATAGTCCATTGATTCTCGTCATTTTCATAAAAACAGGGAAAAGAGGCGCGTGGAGCTATTTTGTTACGGGCAATCGTAATACTTTAACATTTGTAAAGAGAATAAAAAGTGATACAATTATGTGTGCATATATATTTGTGCATATATTACACATACACATATATATATATATATATGTATATATACATATATTCTTTTTTTTTTTGTTAACTTATATTCTCTTTTTTTTTTTGTAAAACTAACATTAGGTAATTTAAAAACCAAACTCTGAAAAAGTTCAAAAGACTTAAAACAAAATTTCTGTCCCCGGTCCCCGGTCCGCATTGAAACGAAGAAATCAGATAAAGTTTTCCCATTTTCTTCCTTGACAATACAGTGATCGCCATTTGCCGACCTCGCTTTCTCGGCTTCTCCGAATCGTGAGCTCTCTCGATAACTCTTCTTCGGCTGCTTTTTTTTTTTTTTTTTTTTTTTTCTGGATTTCGTGTACGTTTGATGAGTTTTGCTCCTGCTGCGGACTTGAAAAACTTGTTCAAGTTTCTGGGTATGAAATCAAGCTTATTTATTTCTGGTTTTTGTTTGATGGGTTTGCCACAACTATCTTCAGTAATATTTGGGGTTATGAACAAATCAAACTTTGTTTCAATATCAAATAGTAATTACTTGTTCGAATCCGAAGCTTTGTTTCATAAGCAAATTATCTTTCAGCTTTGACAGATATGTGAAAGCAAACGGCACTGGTTAACGATCTGCTTAGATAATCTATTCTAGTTTACTTCTTGGTTGCATCTGCCAACGTTGGTTATGTAGTTTGTTGGTGTACTGGGTGAGAAAGGTGATTATATAATATGAAGATTCAGTTTAGTAATTCAAACCATGTAGTGAAGGTAGTGAAGTTATGTGCGTCTTCTTGGGGAGGCAAGGTCCACATTCGGACGGAGCTGATGGCTGTTCTTAACTGTAAATTTATTTCCTTTCCCTCTATTGTAGATTGATGGCAGATGAAGCTGTAAACGTGGATGAGTTTCAGGAATTGGCAAAGAGGGTCCTCCCTAAGATGTACTATGATTTCTACAGCGGGGGAGCTGAAGACCAGCAAACGCTGAAGGAGAATGTGGAAGCATTCCACAGAATCATGTACTGTATTGTATGATTTATCCTTTGAGTGGTTAAGGTGATACGACGAGGAGCACCGGATAAGTGATTTGGTAATCATGTGTTTATCAGGTTGCGTCCAAGGGTTCTTGTTGATGTGAGCAACATAGATATGTCTACGAGCATATTGGGTCACAGGATCTCAGCTCCCATCATGATTGCTCCAACGGCCATGCACAAGGCTGCTCATCCAGAAGGTGCGTTTGTGTTCATAACTTCTGTTATGGTGATTAGTGTAGAAAAGATGCTTCAGCTGTTGATTTTTCTGTGCTAGGAGAAATCGCCACAGCAAGAGCTGCAGCTGCATCTAACACCATCATGGTATTACCTACCTATTTACAGACAAAACCCTACATGTTTGGTTTTAAGGTTGTGGATGATGTAGTGTTTCTCTGTGAATTCAGATTGTGTCATTCATGTCTACTTGCACTGTCGAGGAGGTTGCTTCCTGCTGCAATGCCGTTCGGTATCTTCAACTATATGTAACGAGTTTCACTTGAGCTGCTTTTGTGTTAGATAAATGTTCCTTTTTTTTTCATGGGTCGGGTCCTTAATTATTAGTTCGTGAATGTGTCTTCATAGGTATTCAAAAGACGCGATATAACTGCTCAAGTGGTGAAAAGAGCAGAAAAAGCTGGATACAAGGCATTAGTTCTGACTGTAGATGTTCCTAGGCTTGGTAGAAGAGAAGCGGATATAAAGAACAGGTTAACACCGTTTCTCTTACTCTGTCTAAACCGAAGTTTTTAATCTCGAGCCTCCAACATTATGATGACGAATTCAGTTGCTTCTCTGTTATCATCCTCCGGGACAAGTTTTACCTTTGCAGTATCTAATTTCAGAAGAAGGTGCTTCTGTTGTTGGCACTTTTAAAGAAAGGATACCCTTTATTTTTGCAGAATGATTTCCCCTAAGCTTAAGAATTTCGAAGGCCTTATATCAACAGAAGTTCGATCTGTGAGTAGAGATTTTGCATGCAATGCAGAAGACATCAACCATTGTGCATCTCATACGAAGTGAAACCTCACCAATTGTTGTGATACCTCTCTGCAGAATGAAGGTTCAGGACCTGAAGTTTTTGCCAATAATGCATTTGATGCTTCTTTAAGTTGGAAGGTAATGGTTCCATGACAATGTGAGTTCAGTCAATACATGGATAGTTTCTAACCACATACATGGTGTACTGATGGATGGATTGAAAATAAACATTTAGGACATAGGATGGTTAAAATCTGTTACGAAGTTACCTATTCTGCTCAAAGGCATACTCACCCGTGATGATGGTAAGATTCAACTGTCATATTGAAGTTGTCTTCCGATACACTGGACAAAAAGTGTTAAAGAGTTATATCCTTTGTACTGCTATTGGCAGCTATAAAGGCCATGGAGATTGGTGCAGACGGGATCGTTGTATCTAACCATGGAGCTCGGCAGCTTGACTACTCACCAGCCACTATAACCATTCTAGAAGAGGTCAGTGACACATCCACTTCGAGCAATGCAATTATGTAACTAATAATGCAGTGTCTTGAGGTTGATCACTCTTTTCGGGAAACATTAGATTGCTCAGGCTGTTAGAGGGAAGATTCCAGTTCTGCTTGATGGAGGAATACGACGAGGAACGGATGTTTTCAAGGCACTAGCTCTTGGTGCCCGAGCTGTGCTTGTAAGCTCCTAAGCATTCAAAACTTTTCGGTTTCCAAGAGCTTGATGTAATGAAATCTCTGATGATTTCTTCTGCTGATGCAGATAGGGAGGCCTGTAATCTATGGACTCGCGGTTAATGGAGAAGAAGGAGTGAAACGAGTGATTAAAATGTTGAAGGATGAGCTTGAGCTTACCATGGCCCTATCAGGATGTCCCTCCATTAAGGACATAACCAGAAGCCACGTTAGGACTGAGCACGAGAGGCTCCTGTCTGCGCTTTAAGGTAGACAAACTTAATTACCTGAACTTGGATTCTGAACCGGAGAGTTGCAGCTCGAACCATCCTGAGTGAACTATGAAGTTCTGTGAATAAGAAAATAAAACACTTGTATTTGAAGATCTAGACTCAATCTACAGTATTGCAAGAAACTTGAACTTCCAAGACAATCAAAATGTTGTGAATTTCCAATACATGTTACCGACTTCAACTTGGGAACATGTCTTTTTCTTTCTTGTTTTTTGCCTTTGGGGAGAAACACGAAGATGCATACAACATTTGAAAGGAAACAGAATTTTGAAGAAACTTGAGCTCAAGCCTTCGAAAAAAAATACTTTCAGAGAAAGACAGACTGGAGAAGACAGAGCAACGGCACAATTTACAGTAACCAAAGAAAATGAAAGAAATGGGGAAAAGGAGAAACGATGGAACACGCCATTGGTACTCAAGATGAAAGTTCTTCCTGAAGCTCCACCTGGGATATACAATACTCCCTCTCAAACAACATGAACTCCTGCATCATTTCCACCCAAATTGATCAAACATTTACCGTGATATTTATCAGACAGCTCCAAAAGTGTCTGGAAGAACAAAATTCTTCTGTATTCTAGATGTTTTTTTGGTAATCAGTTCACCGACATCTTGCCACAAGAAAGGTGGAACGGAGAAGTTGGGCAAGCCAATAGTTAACTAGGCGAAAAAAGAAATGCACGATGCAGATGGGCGAGAAGCTACGGAAGTGTTTCAGAGTGAAGATAGGAAATGGACTAAAAGACTGATAATTTTGCTAACCTGTAGTTGCTGCTGACTGAACAAATGGAGAAAACCAGTTTCTTCGGAAGCCACCAGCTCGATTAATTTATCATGGTCTTCAGGCGGATTGCCCGTCTCCACCAGAGAAACAGAAACCTGCAAGTCAGTCTTTTATCACTTCCACCAATGAAAGGGAATTATAAGGACTACTTCTCTGCAATGAAGTACACAAACCGAAACTAAAAAATGGATTGTGAAAACAGTGAATGTAATAGGATTTTTTGAGCCAATGGAATCTGAGAGATGAATAGGCTCCATTCGTTTTCCTGCTTTGATTCTCCTGGTAGGTTTTTACCTGCATAGACCGAAGAATGAGCTCTGGAAGACAGCATCTCCTGCAAAGGCCCCTCACAATATAGGTAGCAGGTGTTTCGAGTGAACCATCTTTGGTTGAGTACCACGCATCTAGGCGGGATATATCCATTGTAACTCCTGACTGGAACCGAGGAAGCTCACCTGTAATCAATTGTCGTAAGCATAATTATCCTTTTATTGATGCCCGTTTCAAGCTTAATGAACCGTATCCGGATTGCATTCCAGATAGGAGGAAAATAATCACAAAGGGCAGCCCAGTGCACAAAGCATCCCATTGAGCGGGGGTCTGGGGAAAGATCTCACCACAAGGGTGTATTGTAGGCAAACCTTAACTTGCAGAAAATATTCTGCAAGTGGCTGCTTCCACGACTCGAACCCATGACCTCTAGGTCACAATGACAACACCTTAAACAGTGTGTCAAGGCTCCCCTTCAGAAAAATAATCACAATGAAAGAAATATTCCATTTATTTAATAACCTTTGAAGCCAGCAGCAGCGATTGCACTGAGAATGCCACCATTGTTTATATCATGAGGCCCAAGTCCATCACCCTCTACTGCTAAACATCGAAGCACAACCTCGATGCAGTAATTGTCCCTGGATGAAATTGCGACATTTATCTGCAACCGAAGATCAACATAAATAGCAGAGGAAAATAAACTGCTTCCCAGCTCTCAAGGGTGAATTCTCCATAGAAATTATCTCAAACCTTTACAAAGCCATTCTAGACAAGTGTTCATGCCTAATGCCATCATAATATGCATATTCTAGCCTAGGCTCTGCAATTGCAAAGGGTAACAGTTGAATAGAAGATATAGACTAGAGAGAGTACCATTAACTGGCGATCTAGAACAACTTCTTCGCTCACAGAAGAGTAAAGTGCACTCATAAGAGCAGCACAAACAGTGGCATCTGGGTGCAAACATTCACCAGAAGGCAAGCAGAGCATAGCAGTTGCATGCAACTCAAGGAACAAAGGTTCCTCTGATTCGAATACATGGTCTTCAAGAAATGTCAACCAGGGATTCTCTTTTCCTATAATATAAGATCCAAGACACAATGCATTTAATATCATTTACAATAAGTGTTAATATGCAACAGTTACATGCATGCCACTAAGGTATTATAAAAGATAAAGCTACTTACTAAGGAGCAACGACAGAGAAGAATCCAAAGTCTCTTTAGCTGCTATGACAGCTTTTTGCTTTTCCTCTTCCGAGAGTTCAGCGGCCTCAGCATTCTCCAACTGAATTTTGAGCCAGTTGCGATATTTTGCATCACAGGAGTAGTACTCATTCTGTTCAACAGAAAATTTGCATTAAAGCGGTCCAGACATCAAATACTTAAATCAAAGGAAACAAGAAAAAAACAAGAAATGCAGTCAAGCATACCCAGCCTTGAAATTCTAGCAAATTCTCAGTAACATAGTCCTCAAGTGTCTCTGGATTTTCTGACAGTTGCTTCAGAGGTTCAGCAAGAAAACTAAGAAGCGTATGTGCACCTACAGGAATCGAAGGAACCCTCCACATGGCAATCAGAGCGAACTCTCTGAAAAGTATGTTGCTGAAAAGAGAAAAGAAATTATAAAATGCGAAAAAGGCAAAGGAAAAGACAAGACAACGAGTAAAAAGAGAGGGAAACATATTACCACTCCTGATCCTTTAATCCTAACATTAGTTAGTATACAGAAAAGGATGGTGAAAAAGAGGATAAACCAGATTTACAAAGCATACAGTTTTTGGAAGCAAATATGTATGTGGGAAGATGCATGAGCTCCGACAATCCGACATGTCATATGTGAGTAAACCACACGTGCCCACAATATTGACTCAATATTATTGAGCATTACCTATGCATCAAAGCTCGTAGGAGTAGTTTGGAACTAACATCCTTGACATCTTTTATAGTGGACGGAGGCGTGAAACATAGCCACTGAATAGCTATAGCCTTCTGAAGACTCTGCTGCCGATGCTGCTCTGCAACATCGAGTGACTGATCATATTTTGGAAGTTTGACTTCCCGAGATCTTGACAAAACCCTGCAGATGTTCCGCAAAATTTCATTAGATTAGCTAAATAGAGTGAAGTGAATCTGACTTGTACCATAGTATAAAGCAGGAAAAGATTCTAGACCATTCACATACCTGTCGATTATTTCTTCAAAATTTCCTTGTGAATCATCAACAGGAGAAAACGGCAAGAACTCCATAGCAGAAAGGAAGATTTTGCACTTCACATGCACACTAAGTCAAGCAAGGGAGAACAACAATTTAAAAAAAACACGCAATCTTATGCCTTCTATGCAAAATGTGGTGGTTAACATATTGCAAAATGCTAGTCAATTGAAACAAAGAGAGATGGTAAACAACAAAATATAAATGACTGTCTCTTCTGCTAACTATCCACCAGCAATCTCACGTACAAAATGAATGGAAGAAAAGAGTCTGAATGCAAGTAGATGCACTTTGCTCGCAGAAAATAAGCAGTTAATTCAAGTTCTCGTATGAATTGTAGTAATCAAATTTCTCAAGAGTTAATACAGAAATCAAATATGTTGTAAGTTAAATATTCAAATTACCACGCAGATAAGTATGCTGTTTCTAGATGCAAACTTCACATTTCATCTTTATTCAAGTAGACCAATGCAATCTATAATATTCAAAGAATTTACCTGCTATTCATCCTTAGCTCCATCATGTGTACAAAAAGCTCAATGCAGCGGTGATGGGCAAGCTGAGAAGCATAAATTCCTACTAGTTCCTCATTGTGTTTAGAAAATAAAAACATTGCATACCTGAAACAATTTTACAAGTCATCAAAAGGCTAATTTAGCATATATGCATGTCATATACCAGGAATTAGTACATATGACCTTAATATATACTCTGTCGCGAACGTGGAACAACTCAAAGTGACTTACATGTGAAGAATAAGATCGCCAACATTCATGAGCTTCTCTCTAAAAGAATCCTTGATTTCATCAGAGAGCAGGTGCCTAAGAACAAGGACAAGGTGGGCTCCAAATCTTATCATATGGGGATCCCCATGTGGCCTGCAAGAACCACAACTGTCTCAAAATCAAGCTTTCAATAAGGCAGAAAGTAACGCACATCTAGTTTTCCGTTATATCAACCAAGAAAAATCCACAGACCAGCAGATATTTGCCATTTAAAGATCATTCGCATTCCAAATAGATGATGTGCTATTTTCAAACATGTATTTTTGTTGCATCGGCTGAAAATAATCCAGGAAAGATTCGAACAGAAAATTATAATCCAGACATACATTGATAAAGCAAGGCCATAGAGGTTATTACCTAAAGTTGCTTTGGTCATCTTCTAAAGGAGCTATCCATGACCATATCATATCAAGAAGATGCGAAATATTCCCCACCATAAGGTTCATCTGTAACATTAAAACCATTAATGAATGCTGCCGCTGCCGCAAAAGATGTGACCAGACCAAGAAAAGGACAAAAGGCAAAATCAATGGCAGCTAGAACCACAAACTTTTCATCTTAAGCTAAAGTTGAGCTAGAGCATATTTTTCAATGGATGTTTACTCAGTCAGAGGATCTCCCAAGGCTAGTAGTGAAGTACAGAACATGAACTCTTTACACCGGTGATATGGACTAAACTAAAGGGATGGGTCTCTCAGCATTACTCACTACATATTGAATCAGAATTTCTGGTTATTATCAGCTATATAAGAAAACAATAGGTGAATAGAGCACCTGAATTTGCCGATGCTGCTCCTTGCATCCTCTGACAACAGCGTCATGCACCATTTCCCTAAGGAGCAGAAAAAAAAAACAGAAAAACAATCCATTAGGTTGTAGCTCTTGACATGAGTAAAAGAGATATATCTTAATATGTGTTTACATATACCCTGAATGGAGTTTCTGAAGAAGAGCGGGAAGATCCCGTGGTTGTTGGTTTAGAACATGGAGGGGCCAATCATCTGGGCCATATGAAGCCTGGTAACCGTTTTGCATTGCCTCAGGACTACCATCTGTTGCATCTATGCAACTTTTTAACCTTTCTGTTAACTCTGGCCTTGATTGGGCAATTTCCATATCAACCTGAACATCAAGCCATGATTTTGCCATTGCCCAGCAAGCTGACTGCAAAGGAATTACCGTTCAGGCAAAATAAAACAGAGTCAATGCCCACGAAATATAAAGTAAGCTTTGGCATAAGCATAACCCCGACAGTGACTACAGTTTTGAGTTTTCTTCTTTATCAACGTTGTAGCATTTGAATAATCATCAGGCAAACAAGTATGCCACAGCATTCATAGCTCCATGTTAAACAAAGGAGTACTGAATAACAAAGCACCAAGAAGAATACACGATTCATGAGTGAATGGCCAGGATTTGGGCTTTAATTAATGAGTGAATTTAGTTACAAGGGAGCACCTCAAATATTTTCCAGTGTTGTTGACCAAGAAGATGTGATGGACTATGCTAAAATTTCTATAAACAAAGGAAAAGATAAAAGTATGATTTTGCAGATGTTTCTCGTCTTTACCTCCCAATCAGTACAGATTGGTAGCATGCGCTTCAAGTTGCTACAATGGGATGCATAAACAGCAACTTCATGTTTCCCGCCATCCTGTTCTGCAATTTTCTTCAAAAGGAAAGGAATAAAAGAACAGGTTGAGTTCCGTGGACTCAAATGTGTATTGAAAATGGTACAGAAAATATTAAATTCATAAGAAAGCAACAAAACCATGGAGAGTAATCTTCATCACCTCTGATGCACAGTAGGAAGCCCATTTCCATAGGCGAAACTGATTGCCAAAGCCACTTTCAAGCTCAATGGCCTGAAGAGTCCTATTTTTTCCATTCTTTACCAAGGCCTCAACAGAAGGAAACATATCCAATCCAGCAAAGGGTGATAATGTCGCAGCTCTCCATGACTGCCAAGATTTTGATTGCCATTAATAAGCATTAAACTCTTCTAATTTATTAGCCTTTCAGAGACCATATCCCTAGAGATATTACCTGCCCCGCAGACCTGCAAAGACCACATGCCTCTTCTATTCTTCCAGCCCTTATCAAAGTCCAAACATCCTCCAGAAGAGACTCATCTTGTTTCTGACACAAAGTAATTATTAATATAGGCCTTATCCATACAGCAAATGCAAGACGGAAACATGTAGTTCACAGTATATACAAAAGCATCCAAAGAGAGGCTAATTGCAAACGTATAAAACAAAGGAGCCTTCACGACCACCAATGAAGGGGAAAAGAGAGAAATCCTAGGCAATTATCAGGGAGATTATTTGATATTTTTCATCCACAACTCGCCTACATTGTTTGGTTGTGGCGTGCATCTCATATTGAATGGACGCATTGAAGCAAAATAGGAAAGAAAAGCCACTCCAACATTAAAAAGCAACTGAGACAAACATCACCAATAACCGAACACAATATCTAAGAAAATCTACAAGAGACTTACATTGTCATCAGAAAGAAGACGAGCATGTTCACGAGTTGGAGCATCAAAATCCAGATGGCGTACAGTGTCAGCTGCAGAACCAGTTTTCTTGAGAAACTTTTGTGTATGGTGCCAGACTCCAGAATGGGGAAGATAAGTACCAACATGAGATCCCCGTACCTGTGAACATGTGAAAGATATTGTTTTGAGGACTTTATCATACAGTTTTCCACCACAAACATGACGACTGACTCTAATTTCTGAAGCAATTATATTCTGATGGGCCTTCCAACACAACTCCTCCATCCATCTAGTATTTATTTATCAGGAAAGGGTGAAAAGGCTGACAAAGTGACAAGAAAAACCTGTAATATTATACAACCACAACCTAAGCATCAGGCTACCAGGGACAAGACTACCACAACACATCAACCGATTGAGTATCTTTCCAAAATGGCATTCATCATATTTAAGCTGAAAAATGGGGGGGGGGGGGGAAAGA